CGTGCAGTTGAGGTAGTTCCACAAGGGCAGATCTCCGTCTGTGAACACAACGATGTCCGTGCGCCACTTGGCAGGCTGATGCGGGATCATGTCGAGCCACGTTTTGTGGAACCACAGCATTTCCTTGACGAACTTGGAGCTGTCGCTTGGGAAGTACACGACCGCTGCCCGCATGAACGACTCGTCCAGACCGTTGTCAAACGCCAGGGGAGTTGCGCCGGCGCTCCGTTTGGACTCGAGAGCCAAGAGCAGAGCGTAGTCGGCCACTTGCGCGGCCTGCAGCGTATGGATATCAACGCTATCGTACTGACCAGCGGCGAACTCCCGCCAGCTAAACCGTTGGGTTCCTTGGGCCGCGCGCAGGTGGGGGTGGTCGGTGATTTCCCCCTTGAGTTCGGTCGAAAAGTCCATCATGTCGTTGTTCTTGGCGAATCCGCCCGTGTCGTTTGTGCAGTGCGGGATGGCCAAGTGACTCGCATACATGTGCAGGACGCCGTAGTGCCAGCGCGGCCAACCTGCCGCCTGGACTTGGTAGTACTCTCGAGACCGCTCCATGGCCGAAAACTCGTACTTGTGCAAGTGATGCATCAATCGAACCGACAGTGACGCGCACGACCGCACCACCGACGCGGGGCCGTACCACGACGCACCGACGTCGTTCACTGTCGGCGAACTCAAGTTCAAGGATGCACCGATGGACTGGAGGCGCGTCGACGTCGGCTCGCCTTGGAACGAGTACGGTCCGGACGACCCAAACGTGAACGTATCTGGCTTCCACGTGGCAAACGCTGGCGTCACGATCGTCTCGATATCGGTCTTGAGAAGCCAGTCGTACGAATCCAGGACTCCTTTCATGGTGGTCGCAAGGATGTTGGTGTCGTCGGCCCGCTCAAAGTCAAACTCTGTTGTCGCAACACTCTTGTACGAACCGACGACAATGCACCGGTTCGGTTCTGCTCGCGACCGCCGAGGAACCGACGTGCAGTTGAGTTCTCGCAAGAATGGCCACTCTTGTGTTGCAAACACGACCAGGTCAGTGCGCCAGAGCTGGGGCTCCTTGACCGCCATCGCCCTCCAGCTCCAGTGGAACCACCGACATCCCGCTTCGCCGGTCTGCGGGACGTACATGACCGCTGCCCGCACGAACGACTCGTCCAGACCGTTATCAAACGCCTGGGGCATCGTGTTGGTGTTTGTGTACTGTCGGCTCGACTTGAGCGCCATGTACGTCGCATAGTCATTCACTTTGGCAACGTCCAAGTCTTCGAGCCGCATGTTGTCGTAGTTGCCTT